CACCCCCACCCCCGTGTCCCCAGTCCTCATATAATCCACCTAGAGCTAGGTTGACAACTCACTCATTTCAAACAGATCCATGAGCTAACTGAAAAGTCAATGGCATAACTTGAAATGCTTTCAGATACAAATCCTCTTGAGTATTTATATATGTTCTTGTCTCATCACTCCTAAAGTAATCCAGAGTTTTGAGAATGTGGGGACTTGGGCAAAGGAGAAAACAACCACGACAGACCAAGAAATGGGAACTCTCAGTTCATTACATCAACCACAACTGGGAGTACCTTTCTTATTGTACTGGCCCGGCTTAAATTATAAAGTCATGAGTAATAAAAAAAAATTCAGGGGATATTACTGAATGTGAAAAGCCTGAAATGTAATTAAATGTGTTCTTTCTTGTCCCTGGTGGTGTCATTTACTCTGCACGCTAACATCTGCGTTTCCCTAAGCCTCTGCCCTATACTAGGAACACACACTGTTACATTATACTCACACGTTCGTTCGCTGCAACTGGGGAATATGTTTTTCCAAATGGACCTCAGTTTACAATCTGCTGTCCGATGCACAAACCTTTGCTTCCTTTCTACAGCTACTGCCCTTGAGACACCACAGACGCTCTCGCAAGAAGAGCGCCTGGAGAGCGTTCCTGACAGATGTGCGGTTTGCTCCAGCCACTGGCTCTGCTGGGACGTGTCCGCTGACGTCTAACACCCACCTCGATCCCCCATGCTGTCAGGATGCAGGCCGGCTGGGTCCCCCCCTTGACAGGAGAATTTCACCCACACCCTGCTAAGCTGCCTGATCTGAGAACCCATCTTGCAGCCAAACTCCTCCGGTCCCTGCGGACAGGATGTCCGAGGCGCTCTGGCGCTTCCAAAACAGCGAGGTTTCCTCCCTGCTAGAGAGCACGCGCTCTGTTCCGCAGGGAACCAGGGCACTGGAAGTAGAGGTGGCTGGGGGCGCGAGGGCTCTGCAGAAGCCGGAACGCGGGAAGGTGCGGGGGCGCAGGAGCGAGTCTATGCTGGAAGCGAGAGAGGCGCAGAGGAGCCGGGTGCAGGAGCTGTGGGGGCCTAGGAGGGGCGGGGGCCGGGTGGGAGCCTGGCGCGCTGGGCGGCACAAGGGAACTGGGCGCCGGAACTCGCAGGCGCAGGAGAGGCGCTCGCCGCGACCAGCGGGCGCCCGGGAGTCGCTCACTCCGCGATCTGCCCCGGACTCTCCAGAGCGGCTCAGTTGAGGGTGAGAGGAGGGTGCCGGGTGCTGAAGGGGGAGAACCAGATGGGGGCGTGCCTTTGCCGGGATTGGCTGGGGGCG